ATTTTTATAAATTTGAATATATATATATTAATGTAGAATAAAGAATTTAATATTTTTCTTAAGTGCACATCATTGTTTAAATTTACTCTATTATGTGTGTTTATGATAGAAATATTAAAATAAAACAATAGGTTTAACGATGAAATACACCTATTCTTTTTATATCACTCAATTAAGTCTTTTTAAAAGCTGTATTATTAAATTGAATACACAATGGTACTACAAATAAGATAACATATTGACATGTACCAAATAACTGCAAATATAATTTTAATGTAAATTACGTTATTCCTGGTATTTTCAGTAATTTATTAAAATAATTTACGTTGTCTATAATAATTTATTTTCCACCATAATTATAAACGTCTTATATAATAATACTTATTAATATTTGCTTATATATTTAAATTATAATAATGTTCCTATTTATTTTAATATTTTGCTCATTAATTTACAACAGGGCCTTAGCATATATTATGATGTTATAACTAATGTGATGAACCCTATCATTATAATGAATATTTTAAAACCTAAAATATTCTCTGTATTCATTTTTATGTATATCATAATATTATCAATAAGATTATAATTTTTTTTTCTCTGCTTTTACTACTATTCTGAAATATATGAGAGTTGTATTAAATAATACATAAATAACCTAATGTAGCAGATACCATAGTATATTATATAAATAAACTTATATATTTGAGTAATCAAATTATATGTAATATTATGTAGTATAATAAATAAAAATGTGATGGTATATTTTTAAAAAGAAAAGTGAAGAATTGCATTGCACAATTCAGAAAAAGACATAAATATAATGTTCATAAGTATAAATTGAATATTAATAATTTAGTAAAATTATTATAATATATTTTGCTATCTTAATATTTATAGATATAATATTTTTATTCTCATGCATAATATCCTTCGTGTAATATGACATACAAATTGGGTATATAAACATATATATATATATATATAGAAAACCTAAAATATATAATAATTAGCATAAATTATATTCCCAATAGAATTTTTCTTTTGATTACGTTCATCACATATCACCTATAATATATGTAGAATTTATTTTTTCTTATATGCTTCGTGATAACTATAATAATAATATTATTTATGATGCCCACTCAAAAATGTAATAATAGGGATAGTAATAAATATGAATTTTAAAAAAATAATTAATGTAATAATTTTATTTATTTTGAGCATTTTTTTGTATTTTCACGTAAAAAAATGCATTATTTAATATTATAATTCATAATATTAATTTTAAAATATATTTATTGTTCAGAATGATAGAATTCTTTTGAATATTTAACGTAAAGATGTTTTTCTCATATACAATTAATCATATTTTCAATAGCAATAACTTTAATATTTACATTAAACACAATAGCAAAGATATATAACAAAAAAAAATCAAATATAATAAAAAATTTTTATAAAATATTTGCAAATTAAATTATAAAAAAAGTTAAAGAAATCCTAGTACAATTACTGTATTTTATTTAATATAGAAACTACATAAAAGGCGATATGTGTGCACTATGGATTTTAGATCATACATACAAGACTAATATATGTAAATAAGAAATTATAATAATATATAACTTTAGGATATAAATTATACAATCTCATGCAAAAATATTACGAGCACAATAAATTACATTTCTACAAATGAATTATAATTAAAAAAAAGTTACATACACTTCAGTAATAATCTCATGAACAATTGAAAATAATAAAACATATTAAAAGAAAACCACAGGAAATATTAATATGAGGGAACCTTTTATAATGTATAATGTGTATTATCATATTAATACAATTAAAGTGTAATTAATATGCAAGATATATCGAATATACAAACACTATATCACATGTAATATATATATATATATATTACTGATATTAAATTATTTAAAAATACTATAATAGCAAAATAATATCATGGTTTTTCATTCATATAAAAAAGCACTATCTTTAATATTTATCATTTTATATATTTCATAATAAAATGGATATATGATTAATAAACACAGGAAAAGCAATGCGTATTAATGTAGAATATGTATATAATAAATTCTTACTGTAAAAACATAAAAAAAAACTTTGCTAATATTCTAATAAACACAAAAAATTCAAAATTATGAATTAATAACTTCATTATATTATAAATTTCTTCTTAAAAAATATGAATATAGAAATTAAAAGGATAAAAAAACAAAATAATCAGAATGTACTTATTATATATTTTGTTAAAATTGGAATTTTTATTGCTCTATTTTTTCAATTCAAACCTATTTTTTTTAGTGATAATATAAATATATATATAATTTTGTAATGATATTCCAGGTTCATAAAAATTTAACTCTGAAATAATAAAAGAATTAGAGTATTACTATAGATTTATTTTACACATGGCTATGCTATTCATAATTATAACTTCTATATGGATGTAAATATATATGTTCTCTCTAAGTTATTCATTCTATAGTGAAAAGGATGCTAATTAGGTCAATAATGTAACACCAATTATTATTAAGCCAACATAATTTCAAAGTCTAAAAAAATATGAAATAATTTGCGCTTTATTAATTGTAATTAATTAATCATGTTTTCATTCTTACCAAAATATAATTTTAAATATAATAATGTAATTCTTTTTTAAATTACTACTATTTTTCGTTTAATATATTTATCCGATATACTAAATATTGCGAATATTTAAAATTAAATGATGAATTCATTAAAAATAGGAAATAGGTTCTATTAATTCATTATTAGTTTTATTAGATGAGGAGTGTAAAATAAAGCCCATTATAGAATTATTCTTTTTGTATTTATAATGTAATATATTATATATATATTGTATTTTTTTAAAAGAAATTTTTTTCATTCGTCATAGCGAGAGCATTTAATTATTATAGACTTAATATCGAAAAAAAAAGAAATATGAAATATATTAATAATATAAATAAAGTAAAATATTCTTAAAATACGTACAATTATAACGATAGTGTAAACAGATAATATTATATTAATTATAATTTTTTATATAATATGCTAATACATTTTTAAATGTTTATATTATTTGAAAAAAAAACGTATAATATTATAGAAATATTAAAATTGAGTATATATAAAATACATTACATAATTAAATTCCATTTTTATTAATATATATGTTAAAATTATACTGAAACCCGATTTATGGAATATATATTGATACAATAAATATACTAAAAATATATATGTGCATCACATATTACAATTTAACTTAAACTTATACAACAGTATTAAAAAATATTAATATGTACGACGTTAATATTTATGTAAAGATAACCTAAAATTTTATATTATATTTAAATAAGCATATATCATTTATTAGATATGAATAAGGAAATTATAAATACCTTTAAGTGCAATTAATATTTATTCAATTATTTTATATTTTCTAATTAAAAATATATATAATATTTATAAATTAAAATAAATAGAAGAAAATAAACAATCAATATATACATTCAAATTAATGATACATATTAGAACAAGATATGCATTTTTTTTTTTTTCTTTAATATTAATTAGAAAAAATATAATATAAAAATATCTCAAAATAGAGTAATTTAAAAATATATATCCTTTCTTGTTTTATCTATATATTTTAATTATGTTTTTTATTTTATAATTGAAAAATATGACAATATATATTATATATGACATGTGAATAAATTAGACTTTATATTGTATAATATTTAATGATAAAGAGATTCAATGATATTTTATTATAAATATTATAATTATATATACTAATAAATAGATTTCACCTCATCCAATATATCATTATATATAGCATTAGAAATATATTTGAATATATATTTAATTCTTTTATCTATTAAATTTTTTTAAGTGAAATAAAATATAATATTATATCAGATGCGGAAATCTATAGTATTTTTGAATTATTATAGTATGAATTACAACAGAATTATATATATAGTATAATTTGAAAATATTGTAAAAAATATTCTAAATATAATATTCGTATTATTATAATATTTTTTTCTTATAGAATTATTGGGTACATTTATTTCCGCTATTTAATGATATTATAGATAATTACAAAGATGCTTATGGAGGAGCAATATGGGAAAGGGCATGTCCAACTATTTTAAATGATTCTTTAATAGATGAATCGTTAAAAAATTCACCAAATAATAAGAAAATATGTATCCAGGCTATGTTTTATCTAAGTGATATTAGTGCAATAAAAAATGAACTTTTAAGAGAAACCGCTTGTATATACTTTTATTATTGGATATGCCATAACATTCAAAATATAAGTAATGTTCAGGATATCAAAAATAATTATGATGCCTTCCTCAAAGTTTTTAAAGCAAATGTGAAAGGACATCCTACATACATATGCGAAAATCAAATGGATGGCATTATGGATGAAGATTTGGCAATACTTAAAGATATAAATGGTATGTATAAAAAATATGATAGAAATAATTGGTCAAACATGAATTACAATAAAAATGATTTTTATCAAGCAGCAATAAGAACTATAAATAAAATCAATGAAAAAATTGAAACAAAAGATACCTTGAGTTGTGAAACTACAAAGAATACTATATCTCAAATACCAAACTCTTGCAAAAGTAGTATATTTTTTCCTGTTATAATAACAATGATGGTAACGCTATTAGTATCTATTTCATTAATGGTTTTTTTTAAGGTTAATTAGGTTTTAATATTTTTATATTATTTTATAAAAATGTGCATTTAAATAAATTAAATATGTTTAATTTTATTAGAGTAGAATTATATTTCTAATACATATTTTTATTTATTTTCTAGTACACAAAATTTGGATCCTGGTTGGATGTTGTAATATTAAGGAGAACAAACGAGATGAATAATATAAGTGAAGAAATTAAAAGGATGCAAGGAAATGATAGAGAAATTAGCATAACTAGAAATATTAGACATAATATATTATATAATGCTCAAAAATTCTAATATTAATTATAAAATAAGAAAAATATTGCACATATAATCAACCTATTAAATATTGAAAATATATTATTTGAAAAATATTTTCCTTAATAAATTCATATATAGAGTAAATAACTGTAATAATATATTAAATAAAAATATGTATAATATTTTGTGTATTTAAGAGATCATGCTTCAAATCAAATAACCGGATAATATACAAAATTTATTTCTATAATTATGTAAATAATGAATAACACAGCTATTAATTGTTTTTCTTCTTTCTTCTTTTTCTTTATATTGATCATGTTTGTTCATAAGTTTTTATGCATAACATGTTACTTTTAAGATATAAAATGGAATAACATTAATAATATATATATTCTTATGCAGATATACATATTTGAATCACAATTTATAATAAAATTTACTTCATCTGTATACATTATTTTTATATACATCACTTAATATATTATATATTACTACTGAAAATCCAATATCTAATGAATTCATATCATTATTTCATATTTAACCTGCAAACTAATTTTTTTTATTGTTCTCAAATAAAAAAAGTACTGAAGTTTTTATATATTTCAACGCTTTTTTGATAAAAAAATTAATAGAAATAATTTTTATAAGTAGATGGAAGGATGTATGGACCAAAATATAATTTATTCTAAGAACTTTCATGTTTCATTTATTAACTTTTTTTATTACAATATATATATGTTTACTAATTATTTTTATAATGGAGGAAAAACTTATTGTTTGAAAAATGATGATATATATTACCTTATATATGCATTTATAAAGAAAGTAAATAATAAAACAACATATATACTACATTATATATCTTAATATTAATAAAAAATATTGTAAAAAAAAATTGAATACATTATTCCCATGAAATATTTTATTATTAGCCTATATCCTTCATTATTAAAGTTTTATATTATATATTGTTATAATTAGAAGAATAAAATTATACTCTATCATAATAAACTTGTTGAAATTTTTTATAAATGTTACAATAATTCCATTAACATTTTTATGCAAAATACAAATATATAAAAAAAATAAAACATTACTTAATTCATAGTGAATTATATAATAAAAAATAAGAATTACAAGAATATAATTCTAAATTATAAAGTAATAATGTACAAGAAATGCAGTAATTATATATAATAATTGTGCTGAAGAAAAGAGTTCTTTAACAAAATATACGTGTTTACATTTCTGAATTTAGTTATTATATTTATATTTTTAATATATCTATTAATATTACCTCCTATGAAAGAAATATATGTAATAACAAAATATAAAACTAAGTAAACTTGTACATTTTTATTATATTAATATATCCGAAAAATAATAACTATATTTAAATGCTTTATTTCATTTAATAATGCATATTTTTCTTAGTATGAATTTTAATAGTCATGCAATATTCTTTTTATATTACATTCATAATGTTAATTTCCATAAGTAACATTGATTATATCATATAATGCATGTATTTCCTTTATTTAGTTTATATATTATTTGAAATTTTTTTTATATAATTTATATTAATTAGAAATTATCTATATACATCATTGAAAAATGTTATTTATATTATCTTTCGAATTTTAATATTATTATTTGTATATTATTCAACAAAAAATATTTTGAAAACACTATACCTAACTTATAGATATTAATAATATTGCAATGAATTGTACAAAAATATGCGTTAAGTGTTATTGAGTTATATATATTATCATATTTTTATTATATCAAAATATGTATGATTTTTTTTTTTTTATATATGCATTTTATATAGGATTTTATGTAAAGTAATATAAATATTTATATGTTTGCATTATTCTTCAACATATTTAGATAAATTATACTTATACAATTATCCCTAATCATGTTTTTTTTTATTATTTGATTAGTTGTATTTTTATAATTAATATGATTTGAATATTTTAAAATAAGTTTCTTATTCATGCAAAGATAAATCATTTTATAATATATGATATAAAAATATTTTAGTTCTTGTGAGCGTGTATAGGAAAACAAAAAAATATTGTCTTATTAAAACGAATAATATGGTGTAATATAATATATTTATCCTTTTTAAACATATAATTTACATTAAATTGTAGACTCAATATGGAAACCACATTTTGGAAATTGATTCATATTTACTTAACATATTGCACTTTATTATTTAAAGCATATGTAGAATATTTATTATATCATGAGATTAATGTGTGTTATATTTTTTGAAATTATTTGATTCTTATAAAAATAAGTGCTTTTCTTAGAAGTATTATTTATTACAGTATTTATATGGAAGTTCTTAATGATATTAATTTTATATCACTAGCGAAGAAAAAACATAGTTCATTATAATTTTTTTTTTGTACTTTTGAGAACTCATATTAACCTAGATGCATTTATATATTATATAGTCAAAAAAATATAATGCAAATATTCATTATAAATACTATGCGTGAATGTAGAATACAGAATGTATATTTTCCTTAATTTGTTATTCTTATATTCTTCATTTTTGATTACGTAAAGATGTAAATGCGTTCATAAATATTATATACAATATTCTTATATTCAATTTTATTTTCGAAAAAGATTAGGGAATAATTATAATCCCAAAGTATACTTGCATGAAGAAACGAAATAATTAGTGGTGAAGAATGATGAAAAGGAGGGGTTAAACTCCAACTAATTAAGTTATAAATTATTATTAAGTAGATATTTTATTGTATTCATAAATGAAAAGCTTTTCTCACATCTCTATTAATAGTTTTATTAATATTAATATAATAATAATGCTTACAAAAATATATTTATAAATATGCCCAAATTTTTTCTTAAGAAAATTACATTTTTATTCTGAAAAAGGATACTTGATGCTATATATATGTTAGATAGTCATATAAAAAAACTAATATTCATAAGATTTTCAAACGAATTATATAATATATACTGTCTTGTTTTATCGGATAATAAAATTCGTAATCATTTTTTGTGTCTTGCATTAACACTACATATCATTAATAAAAAAGCAAGTTATATCTTATTTATTTATAATAAGAATATCTGAAGTATATTCTAACCCTTGAGTTAATTATATTTTAATTTATTATAAAATAATTCTACATGTATTCACAATGGTTTTAACACTGTTAAGAATTGTGCACAATTAAACTGTAAATGAGTTGAAAGGAAATCTTGGGAATTCTTTTATTTACACATTTGTAATTTTAAATTCTAATTAAATTACTATTAGATATATAGTTATTTATATTACCTAAAATATATGTTCATATAACCTAGATGCATCTAAATCGATAAAATATATTAATTGCATATATTTGATCCATTGTATATATTTATTCATAAATTTTTTGGAAAGTTACATTGTTATTGTTTTCCTTTTCATTTTATAATATATATATAAAGTTATTGTACTTATTAAAATGCAATTTGTAATATATGTGCTCATGAAAATAAAACTATTCTATGTCTGTATGCTATTTACAATATAAATAAGTTTATTATGCATGCACATTTCTTTAATATATACATACATTCGTTTATATGTATTTAAATTAAATGAATATATTTAGACATGTAAATATAGAACAATTATAATATTTTCATATATTTTTACACAATCAAATTTATATTTTTTTTCTAATAAACAAGCCTTCTTTTTTTAGAAAATTTCTCTCTTAATTATGCATCGTAATTACATGATTTGGAATTCTTAGATAAGTGGATCATCTAATTTAAATAAAAGATATACGTAATTTAACAGTTTTATAACAAATAAATATATTGATTTATGTTCATTTTTATTTAAATAAGAAT